CTCGGGTTCCTCTTCCTTCCTGTTTGGGGCATCTCCTGGGAAACCGGAATTAAGTTACACTTACAAACACTTCTGCACAGACTGTCTCAGGTTATAGAATGCTTTTCACTTAAGGCAGTGCCAGAGAAGTTCTGTCCAGTGATTAACACACAGGCTTTAGAACAAGGTAAACAGGATTCAGATCTCCTGAAAGTGACTTATCTGAGCCTTGGTTCCTTATGCATCAAATTGGAATAATAACAGCTTTTCACTTAACAGCATTGCTGGATTAGCTGAGTAGATGCATGTTAAGCACTTAGTAAGTGCTCAGGAAGCAGGGGCATTTATTTATTTATTTATTTATTTATTTATTTATTTTTGAGACAGAGTCTCACTCTGTCCCCCAGGCTGGAGTGAAGTGGAAAGATCTCAGCTCACTGCAACCTCCACCTCCCAGGTTCCAGTGATTCTCCTGCCTCAGCCTCCCAAGTAGCTGGGATTACAGGAGCTCACCACCATGCCCAGCTAATTTTTGTATTTTTAGTAAAGACAGAGTTTCACCATGTTGGCCAAGCTGCACTTGAACTCCTGACCTCAGGTGATTCACCCGCCTCAGCCTCCCAAAGTGCTGGGATTACAGGCATGACCCACCGCACCTGGCCAAGCAGAGGCTATTATTAGTGTGGTTTCTCCATTTTTTGTAAGGTAAGACTCTTTTATAGATGGGGAAACATTTGCTCAAGGTCTCCACTGGGGGATGGTGAAGGGAGAAGAGCCAACTTGTCAATGACTGGGTATTTTTTCTCGTGCCACTTTGTCTCACTTGAGGAATGTGAAAGGTAGACCTGAAGGCACTTCCAATCTTGGGGAGTTTTAGTTATTCCTGAAAGAGAGAGAATGAGCTGGCCTGGCACAGTGGCTCAGGCCTTTAATCCCAGCACTTTGGGAGGCCGAGGCGGGCAGGTCACATGAGATCAGGAGTTCGAGACCACCCTGGCCAACATGGTGAAACCCCGTCTGTACTAAAAATACAAAAATTAGTCGCTCGTGGTGGCGTGTGCCTGTAATTCCAGCTACTCTGGAGGCTGAGGTGGGAGAATCATTTGAACCCAGGGGACGGAGGTTGCCATGAGCCGAGATAGCACCACTGCACTTCAGCCTGGGCTACAGAGTGAGACTCCCTCTCAAAAAAAAAAAAAAAAGAGAGAGAGAGAATGAGAGAAATCTGGAAGCACAAGCATGTTGGACTGGGCTCCCAGTCCCCACAGGACCGCTGTCCTATGTTCTGAAAACTTTGTACCAAGTCTGCCTTCTTTACTCCTCTAGTACCCAACACAGTTGAATTTCTTTAAGGATGCTGGAAGTGGGGGCCTGAAAGGAAACTCTGCTAGACAGGAAGCCTTGGAAAATCAAGTAGCGGGGGGGGACCTGGGACTATCCCTCACCTCTCCGAGCTCCTCCCAGTCTTTCCCCCTTCTCAGGATCCTGGGCGGCGGGGCTCCAAGCCTCAGTCTCCTGTTCCATCCAAGAGATGAGGGCTGGTTTGGGGCCTGGGAATCCTGGGAGAGAACAGGGATCACAGCACGGGCCTGAGAGGCCATCGTGGGGAGTTGGCATTCCCCTCCAGGCTGAGGGCACCCCCTCGGAGCTTATACTCAACCTGGACCGGGGTGCAGTGCTGCTGCCTGAATGAAGTGGATGAGGGTGAAAACACTCCCGAGGGGGTACCTGAAGCCCTGGGAACGGGAGGTGGCTGCTGGTGTTGGCGCAAGAGTACGGGGTTAGGGCTCACAGTTCTCTCAGCCCTTCCACATCATCTCCCCTGTGAACCCAGTGAAGGAGGAGGGGGCTCGGACCCGGGGCTCTCACCGAGCGCGCCCAGGTGGCCGTAGGTCTCCCGCATCACGTCCCGGTACAGAGCCCTCTGCGCGGGCCGCAGACAGCCCCACTCCTCCGGGGAGAAGTACACGGCCACGTCCGCGAAGCTCACAGCCCCGGGCTTCCTGCAACCAGGCCGGGTCTCCCCGGGCTTCCGCGCCAGGAGCGGGGCTGGGGGCGGCGCCATGGGGCCTTGCAGCCCCGATCGGCGGCCGCCAGGTCCCTGGGGCCGCCGTCTCCCCGCTCCCGGCCTCAGCTGTCGTTGTCCACAGGAAGGGCGGCCCCGCCCAGCCGTGGCGTCCGAACGCAGCCGAGGCAACCGAATTAGCAGGGACTGGCTGCTAGGGATTCGAGGATTCTGATAGGGACAAATATAATTCCTCAGTGTTTATTCACTTCATGGCCGCTTGGACATAGACACCTGGGTTAAGGGACCCGGAAGGTGCCTTCAGAAAATATGGCGACCACCTAGCTTCAATTGTCACAGGCTGCTCTTAAGGGCGCCATTCTTTGACCATATCAAATATGGAGCCTTTCTGACTTCTCTGGCCTCATCGTCCCACTTGCCCTTAAATAAACCTGCTTCGGATGCTTTTTGTGGTGGGCAAGGCGGGGTGTCTGGGAAGTAGAAGAGAGGCTTCTTGCCTTCAAGAAAGATGGACGGGCCCGAAGCTTCACTTACTCCTCTTTACCCGCAAGACGCAACGGCCGATGATTGGCGACGATCCCGGAAGAATCTGCGCAGTGATTGGCCTGGCACTGGCGGGCGTTTGAAAGGACTCCGCGGTCCTGAAGCCTCTGTTGACAGACTGGAGCGCAGCGGGGACCTCGGTATCTGCGGTGCTCAGAATTGTGTCCCCTACGGGCTCTTACCGTGCCTCCCGATGGCAGGAGCTGGAATCTGGTCCCCAGATCCCTTGGGAAGACGCGCACACCCTGGCAAACCATGTGTACATCCGCGGTAGAAGCAGGTGTGTGTTTTACAATAGGAGTTTAGCTGCGGAGTGCACCCAGCCCCTGGCATGCGCAGCTCGGCTCGCTCAGGCTCTAGACCGAAGCTGCAGGCGAAAGAACGTGCTTGGTGAGGATGGAATCGGAATGGCGAAGTTTTAAATTACATTGTAGTTGTTGCTAACATACATAAATTTATTTTTTGTTTGTTTTGAGACAGGGTCTTGTTGTGTGGCCCAGGGTGGAATGCAGCAGTGCGATCCTAGCTCGCTGCAGACTCGACCTCCCGGGCTGAAGCGATCTTCTCACCTCAGCCTCCCGAGTAGCTGGGACCACAGGCGCACACCCCATGCTTGACTAATTTTAAATTTTTAAAACAGAGACAGGGTCTTGCTATGTTGCCCAGGCTGCTTTGGAATTCCTGGCCTCAAGCAATCCTTCTGCCTCGGCCTCCCAAAGTGCTGTGATTGCAGGTATGAGCCACCGTTCTCGGCCATTTCTACTTTTTTCTTTTTCTTTTCTTTTTTTTTTTTTT